GAAGAGAATAGTTGTGACATATTTTACAGCTGAATTACCTTGGTAGTTTCAATTTCTCACAATATATAAAAGCTAACATTACCAAGAATAAGAGTCTGAAATGTCTCACTAGTAATTCTAAATCTGTCTTCACACTTTGCTGGTATTCTTCATCACTAAATCCCCTGCATATCATACTCCATAAGCATGCACCAGGAATGTCCTCTAATATCTGACCCAAATAGCAACACTTTATGTCCTCCAAATACTAGCCCAGTGAAGCAAAGCAAATCCATGTTTTTGTTACTGTCTTCAGTGTTTGTTCCTATGTAAATCTTGAGTTAAACTGGTCTTGAAAAAACAATAGTAGCCCACTAATGGTTTATAACTAACCAATATATCCTCTGTTCTATGCAATGACTTCTCACGTGCGTGCCACAGAATGTAGATGGTAATATCTAAGCCCTTGCAGATACAGAAAGCCTTACTTCTTGCATTAGGACAGGTATGACCCTGCTCAGTCACTTTGTATTTAATCTCAGAGCTCAGTGAGTAATCATCTTCTGGCTATCATACACTGTAGCATGAAACGTGGTGGAAAAGTTTTGCAAAGTGTGAGAAATTCTTCCCCTTCAAGAACAATTTTTGGTGTTATGTATTTTATGATTCTAGTACTACTGTGAAGGTCCTCATCTGCTTTTTTTCAAAAGTCAGTTAATCTTTATTATGGGACAGACACTGTAATTATTAATTTTTTTAAAATTCAGTCATATTATTTCAGCCATCTCAGTTATTTTTTACCAGATAAAACACAATGCCCCTGCTAGACAGCCGAGAGAGCTAACAGTTTACAGTTTATGGTTTACAGTTATGGCCTTTTCTCTGTAACAAGAGGAATAAGGAATGATCCCTTGTGGGTACTTAATATAAGAGTCTTCTGCAACCTCTATTGTTGCGTAACTTGTCTGTAAAATTACAGCAAAGACAATGCCTACATCTCCATCCCCACATACCTATTTAAGACATACCTTACCTATTAATACAAAATACTTCATTTATTACCTTCATGATATAGCTGACCTAAACATTTTTTTCTGGCAGTCTTTAGAGAATTTGCAATTTGGTTCATGAACAGGCATAGCCTCATCATCAGTAGGGGAGCGTGGAGAATAGATCCCTTATCCTTTTTCCTTAACATCACAGCACATTATAAAATAATATTTATGTATCCTGTCACACGTTGTAGATGGAAGTGTGAGCCGGTAGATGAGGAAAAGACCCAGGCTCTGCACAGGGCTATGGGTTTTTGTCTCCTTCCAAATAACAGGAAGAGGACTGCCAGGTCAGGGGAAACTTGCAGTGTAGCACTGTATGGATAATGCACAAGTGCTTAGAGGCTGATGGTGGGAGAACAGAGCACGGACTAAGCATTTACGAAGGGAGAACCCACAGTCTATTCAGATAAGGGCAGAAAAATCTGTATTTGTTTGAACCACAATTCACATCGATTACAGAGAATGTGTAAATATCACCCCTGGACCATCTTCCACTGGAAACCCAAGGTATTTGTTGCACAGACTATACAGCATTGCTGCAGTTTCGTGTCACCTCCAGCTCTTGCTTCTATTGATATGGAAATTTTTAGGCCACGTTTAAGGGGACAAACAGCTACAGTCAACTACTTTTAAATTGCTTTGTCTTACCTGCAGGCCTTCTTAGTGCCTCACTTCCACTCTCTCCGTGCAGCGGCATATGTTAATTTTCATCATTTCAGCCACAAGCTCAGCAATGCCAGTTTTCTTCCTCTGCGCTTTCCTTGCAGGACAGAGGCAGGACCATCACGGGAGCACTAAGAACACAGGAGAGACTGTCTCTCTTTGCAGTTTTGCAGTGGCCTGCAAGCAACTCAAGAGGAGATACTGCAGAGAAAAGAATAATCTCAGCACAGTTGGACTGGCTGTACCCTCTACAGCCACAGATTTTTTTTGGTCAAGAGACTCTATCAGCTAAACTCCACCAAGTCTTTGCTGAGTGCAGACCACCACAGAGAATTTTTATCAGGTCCACCTTGAACACATCCAGCTGCTCCAGAATAGGGGGTACTAGAGAGGCATACGGGGCAAAATGCACAATCATCATTCTGCAAAACTTCTGTGCAACTTTTGCTGTAGCATCTGGAACACAATTTGTTGTAAACAAGGGAAGTTTGATCAAGTCTTTAATAATTAAAAGAAGAGCTGTAAACAGAAAGTTAAGGCTTTGAGTAAAGATTTCTGTCAACCACAGGCAAGAAACTACAGTTTGGGGTTTCTCTTGGGTAAAACTTTATAGTGAATTAGATTTGAGCATTAGTAGGTACTAGCAAAGTTAAGACAGTCTGGTGAGGTTATCCCCCATTCTTTTTGCTAATAGAAGAAAATAAGAATGGAAGAATACCTCAGACTGCATTAGCCCAGTTCTTCTAACTGCCAGTTGTGCCAAAGGGAAGCACAGCAAACTCTTGTACACCTGTAAGACAGAAAACTAAGTTTACCAATCCATTGATTTGATTTGTTTTTCAAGCTGCAGTCAGCTTGCAAATCAGGGACCATTTAAAGAAATATTTACATCAAGTCTCTGTGTCTTAAGAACTAAAATCAACATTGGTTGATAGCACAAGTAATTTTGCCAAGAGTATTTTGGATTAATATAATCTATGTTTTCACCTCTGTTGCCCTCTTTCTACGTATCTTGAAAGGGCAGACACAAACTCAGGCAAGTAGCTCCTACCCTGCTAAACCATCCTGCTGTGAAGAATCTGGGTACTTACTTGAGGAAGCAGAACACATAGAAACGTTTAAAGAATTTGATTCAAACAGTACACAGGCACGCAATCAGTTTAATTTCTGAAACATTTGTTACACCACGATCCTTGGCTTAAGTTGCACATTTTTGTCACGCAGATGAACATAACACGAAGACTACCAAGTTAGGAGCCTCACAACAAAATGAATCTCCAATACAAATATCCTTTAGTCAAGAGAAGACAGTGATCAAGAAGTTTTGCAGGTTGTATATTGAAAACCTTCAATCAAAACCAAGGTCCAGTGATCTATCTTGAAACATAAGCGTAATATCAGCTGAATTTCCTGCTGCAGGGAAGTTAAAGTTGGCTTCCTGACTTGGACTCACATCCTCCCGCTCTGCGAAAGTTGCTTTGAATGAACCCCAGATGCAGGGTTCTGGCAACCCTTCTGATCTAAGCTCCACACAACACCAAATATCTCTGCTGTCAAGAAATACCTGCCTGCCGTTTGTGTGTATCAGGTAGCTGACCAGCACGTGGCTGGGTTGTATCACAGGTATAGCTCGAGAGAGGTGCAAAGAGCCCGGTACGGCTCCAATGCAGAACAATTTTCCTTTGCCAAAGGACAAAATATTTACAGATTGAATGAGGTAGCTGAATGGAAGTTCTTAAAAACTGTTAAATGAAATACTGTAAATGTGAAATGAAGCGCCAGTCATTGTTCAGCAAAAGTAACACATCAGAAAAAAACCACATGATTCAATAGTATTAAAAAAAATAATCTGTGGTACATAGTCCTTTTGAAGGAGAATTAGTTACCTTTTGACACCTCTCAAGGAAGTCAGCAGAACCATCTCCTTCTTTTTGCAGGGATGTGGCATTCTTAGTTGAACAGCAAAAGAAGATCAGAAGCTATACATAAAGCATTGGAAGTTTTGACCTCATCACATTTCATGAACTAAGCAGGTTCAGGACAGGAATCCTTAAGTCTATCAGGTAACCAGTACAGACCCAGTAAAAAAGGTCTGTTGGGCAGGTAGCAAGCAAATCCTGAGTAGTTACTGAGCAAATCTGGCTGTAGCTGCACTGTGCTACTGTGTAGGTGGTAATTTTCAGCCAAGACACACATCCTCATCACTAGTGGCCAGTTTACTCCACCACTCTTTGACAAGTGTGGACAGTTGCCCCAGTGGCTGGTCAGCATTTCAGTAATGAAAATCTTCTTCGCTAATTATCTGCTGTAATTCTAGCCAAACACGGTCCTCTTCTGCTACCCAACTGCTAGTTGGCACAGTCATATGTGGTTTTAGCAAGTTGCTGGCTTTTCAGCACACTGGACCACTGCACACTGAAGGAGGATTGAGGAGAAGAAAAATAATCAGCACTTAAGTGAAGGAATGTTGTCAACACCAGAGACGCTGCCATGACCGTATGTTCCGCTTACTGAAATGTTCAGTCAACAGCAATCTTGGATGTGGATATGCTTTCAGTAGGAAAAAGAAGCCAAACTCTCTATTATAACAGCAGTAAGTCAATTTGTGTATCTCAGTTTTTCAATTCAAAGCTAATGGAATTCCTGAAGCACACCTGGAAATACATCAGTGTGTTTCGCTACCAGGATTCTTCTTTCTGAAAGCATTTCCCAAAAGGTCATCACACAATACAATTTTTAAGTGATACAACTTCAAAAACTAACATAATTCAGCTATTTTCATGACTACTCTACTTCCAAAATGATTTAAAGCTTGGTCTGGAAAGTAGAGATGATAAAGTTAAAGGAATCTTAACCTTTCAAAACCACACTGCTGTCATAAGAATACTTAAACAAATGCAGAGACGCTATTTTTAACAACTTTATTGGTTTAACAAAAGTTGTATAAAATTAGTCTCTGGAACATCACAAAAGCAAGGATTACACTGCAATTATATTTTGCTTACTGTATTTTAGCAGAGGGGGGTACAATTTACTATTTTTCTGGAAAATAAACATTCCCAAAATCTGAAATAGATACTGATTTTAAAAAGTAACACAATAATATTCCTTGTCTCACAGCAAGAGCCAGAAATACAAATCTCTCATTTTTTCTCCATTTCATTTGAGCCAGAGGATGACAGCACTAAACTGATAAAGCTCATTTTTACATTTCTACATCACCTAACTGCAATTCTTTATAAAACACCTTCAGAATAACAGCAGTAAAACCAGAAGGATAAGAAAGTACCTGAAAGTCTCAGTGGCTTAATACTTTCAATCACAGTAACAGACGGCTGAAACTGTAAGGGGAATTTCCATGGCAGTACTAATGTACGAGTCATAAAATCAAACCCCATTCCCAGCAAGGTCACGTTTTTTGTTCCTTGAAGAAGTCTGTTCCTTTCAGCTCTTCTGGTAGATAGTCCTGCTCTACAGGTTCCTTGTACATGGGGTTGTATTTATAGCCTTTACCATAGCCCAAGTTCTTCATGAGCCGTGTTGGGGCATTTCTCAGGTGCAGTGGAACAGGTGGCAGAGGTCCCGTGTGCATTCTCAGACATTCTTTGACATTGCTATATGCCCTGTATACCTCTATAGACTTTGGTGCTCTGGCAAAGTACACTACACATTGTGCCAGAATCACCTGGAAATAAGAAAAGGGCAAATATTAAATGATGTCTCTTAAGTCTTTAAGCTCTTTGGGAAAAAGTCTGTTATTCAGGTTGCTTGTGTAGCATGACAAGGATTAGGTTTTTAAACTGACCTCTACTTGCTACTATAGTATGAATACTATTATTTAACAACAACACAGCTCTTCATGATTTTCACTACTAGAAAAGAATAGCTACTTTAGAATATCAGAATATATTACTTATGAAAACAGAAAATTTTCATATTTAAAAAAATGGACAGAGCAAAATTACATTAGTTCACATACCACATTTTAACAATAAATACGCAGTGAATTTTATTTCAAACTGCAACATCTCTTTTAAGAGCTATGATGTTCTCTTACTTGTCAAAGAAGGGGTGTCCTGAATGAACATGTAACTAAATTTGCCTTGTCCTTGTAATCTCGGTTTCTTTTTATAATTACAGACAGGCTTTACAGTTTGCAGTACTTTCAAGTCAGTGAATTAATGAAGCCTTTACCTCACATTCTGGCATTCCTATAAAGTGACAGCCTTGATAAGCAGCAACTGCTTGTGTTAAAGCCAGAGGATCTGCCAGCCCTACAAAAAGGGATCAGATAAAAGCAGGTTAAAGTCAGTTTACTTTAGTCATTGTCGTCTTTTTTTTTTTTTCCTTTCTTTTTTTTTCACGCCCTCCTGTAAGAGGGAAGGTTATCCATGCACATTTCAGAGTTGCTTTCTCAGATGCTGCAACTTCTGGTACAATACTTTGCTATACATAAGCTGTACTCCCTCCACCCACAGCCTTCCTCCTTCTGTCCCCCCACCGCCACCCCTGCAAAGAAAGGTCTATATCATGGGTATGATTTACAGTCGAATCTGTTGACACGTGGTGGCAGCCTGAGCAGTAGCTGCCAGTGTAAAATTTGCTTATTTTTTGGAAGTGAGAAAGAAATGGGGAAATATTGCTATATAGACATCATTTCCCCAGATCTCATAACTCTTCACCTGCCTCATATGTGCTAGAAGTGTTGCAGCATCTGTTACTTTGGGTACATCAATCAACACGTATTACAACTAGGGAACCAGCTATCAAATCTGAAATTTGCAAGTCAGGGCAGGCATTCACCTTCCACAGTCATTAAAAAACCAGACATCCCTGAAATACATTTTCGATCACAAAAGTTTACTGGTGACCTACAATCATCAAACTTTGAAACAATCCATATCAACACACTGCCAAAACCTTACCTCTAAAAACTTCATTTCTTCTGCAATAGGCAATCATCACAATGACACCACATGTAGGTCTCTGCCTGCACATACAAACTTTTTTTTTGGACGTGGAGCATTTCAGTATTTTGTACCTATTTTGCATACAGCAGTTTTGGGGTTGTTTTTTTCTCAAATGCCGATTTTTTGAAATTAGAAGCCTGGTGATCTTCATTCAACATAATATTCCAACATGAAATACTGCAAATACTGACCTATATCTTCACTTGCAAACCTCACCAGCCTCCTCGCCACATAGAGTGGATCCTCACCACCTTCAAGCATTCGACCAAGCCAGTAAAGGGAAGCATTTTCATCTGAGCCTCTCATAGACTTATGCAGGGCAGAGATGCAATTGTAATGTTCTTCTCCTATTTAGAATGGGGGAGAAGAGATACACAAAGCTGTTAGGAGGAAATTAAGTGAATTGCATTTAAGGGAACAGAACATATTTTGCTAGATCACAGCAGGTAAGTGTAACCTGCTTTTTCAAGTTCTTTTTACCTATATGTGATTATGGTGTTCATTAACGTTTTCAACACCTTCATGCTTTGCCACATGGATCATTCCGCTAACTACATAAGCATAACAGAGCAACTGCAGATGAAAAGGAGAGTGTTTTTTTTTTTTAAACATTGCTAGGTAAACAATTTGGTTTTGATACCCTAATGATTTTTCCTTCAAAAGAAAAAAAAAAAAAAAAGGATATTTTAAGCAGTTAGGAAGAAGACTCTATATAAATATTTCCTAATTGACAAAGAGTAAAGTATGAACACATACAAACCACTGACCATTGCTTTTGGACACACACAGAGCTCTGAAAAGACAACAGAAAAACCAGAGAAATCCAATACTATACACTAGTGATATTTTAGAAAAAGAAATTTCACACCAACTAAAACTTGAAAATAAAGCGTGCAGTAAATCAAACACAAGTTTGCTGTATTATATAGGGGAAAAAAAAGGAATAGTTGCTGCGGATATATCGTGATGGCACATTACACAATCTGGAGGAAACAGGATTGCAGCACACAATCCTGGCAAACCCCTAAGAAACGTGGAATTCAGTTGTGGACACCTGCACTACTGGACACATCCTGAAAACTGTAAGCAGCTGAATCAAAAAAAAACCCCACAAATGAAACCTGAAATGCCAGACTGTTAAATAAGGAGTGAGCAGACTGAATGAATTACAAGGAAATTTTTTTTAACATTAAAGTTTAATGTAAGATTAGATATGGACTCCAAGGAGAAACAAAGCCATTCCACAGATCTTTTAGAGCTATGGTTAAAAATAAGAGGGTCAACATTACAAACACTGAATGAGAACCTTCCTGCTTGCAATTTTTCTCTGTGCAGCTGGTTTTGATTCTTATGTGTTTGTTTTAATCAAACTTTTAAGAGTATTTTGCAGCAATACTGTTGTTAAACTTTCCAGACAATCTGCTTTTTTTATTTTTTTAAAGTTCCTGGCATTCCTTGGCTCACAGCTAACCATGTATTATAAAGGCAACTGGCTGCATGCACAGCCATCTGTTAATATTTCTCTTCTTCCTAAGGCTAAAAGGATTTACAGCCCAAGAGTCACATCAGAACACATCACCGTTGCTCATAGGTCCTGCAAAATAAAAGGCCGCATCCATGAGTTTCAAAACCAAAACCCCCATACCGCTGCAATTGCTCCTTTGCAAGGCCACCAAGACCTCTACCTCCCAGGTCAGAAACTGGGTCCATCTTCCCATGTCGCTGCTCATGCCGCAGTGCGGTTCTGTGGGGAATTCAACACACGCGCTGCTGGCGTACGCAGACCAGTAGACAGCTATTTTTGCTAGGACTCCACACAAAGAGCCCTGTGGTATGTAGTCATCACTTGTGCCAACACAAACAGCGTGTTCGTGCTCTGCCATAACACTTGAGTTAGCAGCAATAAACCCAAGCAGCTGAACTCACATCGTCCTCTTGGAAGAGGCGTCTCTTGGTCTCTTAGAAGTAAGGAAGATGGCCTTTAAATATCTCCAGAGGTTGCACTCATCCAAATTTTTTTGCTGGAGTGCTTTTATACACTGTTTGGGCTACTGTAAAGTGTCATACTTGGGGATACCAGCTGAAGAGGCAGAAGGAATCCAGCAGATAGGCTGGGACTAGAGATTCATACCTGCAGGGAACTTCAGAGTAGGCAGGCTGAGAAAGGAGAGAGTTTTCTCCCTTTATCTCCTTCCTCACAAAGTTAATGTTGGTGACCAAATCATCAGCATAATGACAACACTTACACAGCAGACTTGGACTCCTTCAGAAAAACTGTGCAGTTGTACTTTAAATGCAGTTTCAATTAAAGGCAAAATAGGGTTACACGCATTGGACAAGGATGCTTTATGTTTCTTTTTAAAAAATGCAGTTTTATAAATATAAATTTTATGTGAGATACCAGAAGCAGTTTAAAAAAATTAGACAGAATTTTTTACAGACCTTTATTTATTAGCTCTGTCTCAGGCTGGTTAGCCAACACATAGATTTTGGACTTATCAATTCAGTTGAGAAACAGACACATGCCAATTTACCTGATATCACAGCTGTTCTGCATCCTGGATGCCTCTTGAAAATCAAAAATCTAAAGAGTTTTCGGAATCAAAATACCTTTGCTCTATGCAGTTCCCACAAAGGCACATACCCTTCTGAAGCGAAACAAGATACTACACAAGAGGCTTTGTGGACGACAGGATTTTCTAGTGTCTAACGTATACAAATCTTGTTGATTTATGCCCCTAAATTGCTCTGTGTGCTCATGAAGAGTTCTCCAGCTAATGTAAGATGTTGATTTATCTAAAGATTTATTGGTAGAAGATAGGGAAAAGACCTCATTCACTGACCATAATTAATATCTGGACTTCTTAAGTAATCCCTATTTATAAGGCAGCAGACAAAAGTAGTATCACAGTCCTCATCTCACATTATTTTCTGTCTTAGCCAAAGGTAAACATCAACTGCTTATCGATAAAGGACAGAAGGAAGCCTTGGAAGGAGGACTAGAGCAACAGCATGGATAAAAAAACCTTCTCATTCTGGTCCAGCAGAAAACAATAAAGTTGGCAAAAAACATTATGGCGTGAGACACCTTCTCTTTCCTTCTCCGTAAGAAGGAACAACCATGTTCCAGATTACAGAAGAAATTAACTTCGGTTTAACACATTCCCAGTCTTTACCATAACTGCAGCTGTTACCACATAGACAGCGAGACAAAAATCCTGCAATAATTCTGACATTTATCTTTGGTATTTACTATTAAATCAGTGTTAGCAGAGAGACACAATACTTAAGAAGAAGAAGAGACAATACAACTCTATCTTAAATATCTATTCACGGTCCATCTGCATTTTTCTTCAAAAAAAAATTTAAAAAACTGCAATTAAAAGCTATAATATGACTAAATCGTTTGTTTCCTCTTACACTGAAAGGGCTGCAGGCAGCTGCTGGCAGTGAAATTTGACTAGAGCTGTTTCTTTGTTCTTCCAGCTAAAATGCATAGATTATCTGCACAAAGATCTTGTCTCTACATGTCTGCACACAGAGCAGAACAATAGCCTAATGACTGGATTATGAATAATTTCCTTCCTAGACTACTTGGTGAAAGTACATAAAAGAACACCCAACTACATATAGTTGGCAAATTTTGTGGAAGCTGACAAAAAATAAATAATTATGTAAAATCAAAATTCTGTATTTACACAACTCTGAACACTACTGCTTTCTACATGAACAAACTACACTGAAATGTATGCTGCTGCTATCATGATTAGACAGCATCATGTCCCTCCACTTTACAAGGCTGAAGCACTTTATATTAGAGGATTGTAGATTCCACCGCAACAACTGTGATTCAAAAAGTATTAGCTAAAACATGCTACAAAAATATCTTTATTTATACAGTAGCCTCTATCCAGAAGCCCTTTGTACATAAAAGGAGAGACAGCTATCTCTACTCTGGACAAAAGTGGTCAACCAAGACACAGATTACTCCACAGAGGAGAGAAATTTTGTAAAACTGTGTACTCGGGCAATCTGCTACTGTGACAATATCTGTGGCAGGCTCTTTGGCATTCCTACAATAGAGAAAAACAGCACTTTCACTGCTCTCACCCCTCTCTGAAAATCTCCGACAAGAAAAACCCCAAACCCTACACAGAGCTTTGAAGGATTTCTGTCACAGCGAAGGGGCTGACACATGCTACCTAGACTTGATGCAAGCCTCAGGAAGAGGCATTCTGTCCTAATCTCTAACAGAGCAAATAGGCATAGCAGGGCTGGGAGCAATGGACACAGCCAAGAGTTCTGTGTGACAGTGGCCACCAGGCGACAGCAAACACACAGGGGACCTACACAGAGCAAGAGACTCACACCAATGAACAGGTCAGATTTTCCACTTCCTCCTAAGCATGACTTCTTCCTGCCACAGGCCCCATAAAATATTTCTTCTCCCCCCGCCACCTACCCTTGACTTTTCAGCTGCCATCATATCAATATCTGCCCAGCTGACTTTTTCCTGACAATGAGCCATCATTTCCTCTTTGTAGCAAGAAGGCTGCAAGCAGGCATATACATTACAAACAACCTCGAGAAATCTCTCATCGCAGATTTTGAGTAGTGACAGTTAATTGAGCATAATCAGATACAGTGGCAAAAAAAAAAAAAAAAAAAAAAAATCAATCCGTTCTCCAAATACTGCTTGGCATAATCATTTGATACAATACTGCACAGTGATTCAAGTATTGCTGAAGAACTAGTACATGCATTCAAGGGGATTCACTTTATCTCTAATATTCACTCTCTGATTTTTAACCCTCGCATATAAAATGGTATAGTGGCCAACTATTGTGATGCCTAACATTACCAAGTCACAAATTTAGCAAGAGTGGTTATCACACATTAAGAAGCCTTAAATGCAATTAGATTTATGTGACTTGCCCTAAGCAAGATAAAAAATCCATTATCTTAAAAAGCAACTCTAAAAATAGAGCAAACTGCTCAGGTTTCCACATAAATTGTTGTGAATGTGAGCACTTCCAAGACTTTCAAAGGAGCAGAAGTGCAATGGATGATTACCAAAACTCCAAGAACAAATGTCCTATTAGATTACCTCTCCCTCTTTACATTGCAACCCTCTTAGAAGACAATATTCTAATAAACTTAAAGAACAAATAATTTCACCATGCCACTATTTGCAGGGCAGCAAGTATGTCTTTCAGCTAACCTAGACTTCCGAAGTGCTAAGAGGAAACCCTGTTCAGAAGGAATTTCTTGCTGAGTCTGCTATACTGTAAAGGAAAAGTAAGTTCGGGGCCAAATTTCAGTACAACCACTGTTCCACCAGAGCAGCTGGTACAAAAGGGGGAGAAGAAACAGGAATTATAGAGACTATCAGCTCTTGAGAACATTGCGTCTCAGAAACTGTATCAGGTACTCACCTGCTCGGTCATACAGGATGTGAGATCGCTGTAGCCCTTCCTTTACGTGCTCTTCTGTTACCAGAATGCCATCTGCAGAACCACCTTTGGTAATATTCAAAGGAGTGGTCTTCCCCACTGCTAATCTAGCCTGAACTGCTAACTGGAGTCCATTCAGTCCAGTCCTTGCATCACCGTCGCAAAGGTAGGCTAGGGTATTTAAAGCTTTCTCTTCTATGTACACAGGGAATCTGCAACAGAATAACCATGCACTGTTAGCCTCCATCATGCTCCTCTCCTTGCATGTTATGCTAGAGATGGCATTTCTTTACAAAGTTTGTTGAGAGGCAGCTGGGTTTAAGTTTTGCTCTTAACTCACTCTGTCATGATTAAGCATTGCAGAGCCTGGGAGAACACTGTGGGACCTGACCCCTCTTCCCCATGCCCCAATGCATGTTAAATACAACTGCACATGAAAAAGGTAGGGCAGGAGCACTCATCTATTTAGCCCCCTTATTTTTCCTCATTTCATTAAGTTCAATGGAAACTAAGGTTAGGGTTTTGCCAGAGCACAATTCTGGCACAGTCAGTTGAACTTTACAAGGTTTTACCCCATCAGCATTTTATAGCTAGCACTTCAAATTCCTTGTTGGAAGGACAATGAAAAGGTTGGAAGGACAATGAAAAGGTAGGAAGCTATGCAAATATACGTGAGAGAATATAGTGAGGTATAAAGAAACTAGCATGAGGTTTTAAACTACCTACCAACAGCAAGAGCTCCTATCAGATATGCTTAAAAAGCAATAGCTGGAAGGATTGTTTACATTGTAAAGCATACATGCATCCTGCATTCTTTTTTTCAAATGGTAACAGGTATTACAACTTAGTCACTGGGTCTTAACAGAAACAAAAGGCACCTCAGTGTATGCAAGGCACTGTTCTTGCCATCTACTACTCTTAAGTGTGCCAGGACTATACAAACACATGAAAAAGGACAAATTCCAGTGAACACACAATCTAAATGAACAAGATGGGAATAGTTGAGAAATGAAGCAGCAGGTCAAGGATCTCCTGAGATCTCATAACAGGTCTATGAAAAATCTGGAAAAGTAACGAAGTCCCCAAGCTCTTTCTCCAGGTTTTCATCTGCAGTCCCCACTGTTGCAGCACGTGCAAACCAACTCACCTCAGCACATTTCACATGCATACTGTTGGGGATTTGACCTTCAAACTTTAGTTATGTAGACAAGGTAACGGCTAAGGTCTTCCCCAGGCAGAGGGTACAACTGACTTGATTTAGAAACAGCAGCTAGTGGGGTTAAAGCATGGCATTAAGTAATGGCCCTAACTTAGCCATTTCTAGTAACTGGACTGAAAAATCAAGAGTGACGTATATCAGCAGGGATTAACGCACAGAGCTTGGCATGAGAGGCAACTTCTTAGGAAGCCCTTGTGTGCCAAATAATTAAGGATTCACAACAGCACTGCACTTCATTCACCAGAAAGATTTATTACTGTTATTACCAGTGGTGTACAAAAGGGCAATGCCAGGGTTCCCACACACACGTATCTACTACTCTTCATTACCTGCCTCCTCTTCCTCCTTGCAAACCCACTTTGCACTTGTCACACAAAAGAAAATGACAGCAGGCACTGGAAAAATGTCAACAGTCAGTATTTGAGCCCTTGCATGGCCACATGTAAGAGGAAAAAACTTGTAGAGCTGCAGCCTTAATCTACACCACTGCAAGTGACAGCTGACAAATGTCTTCCAGGGCCACAATCCATGTTGCAGGGA